TGATATATATATATATATATATATATATATATATATATGATGTTTTCAATTCACATATTGTACATTTTTTGTACATTACATCTCCGAACTATACCCAATAGTACACAAAAATAGTAATTGTAATACACGATGACCTAAATGCACAACAAGCTAAACAATACTTATATAAGGTTCAAGCATACAAGAAAGAAGTAATAATATGCATGCTCATCTTTTAAACTAACATGATCATTTTTTTATAGACATAATTAACTTAATGTAGTGATAAATTATAAAGAAAATTGGTTTTGGCATTTAAACAAATAAAAGGCATCTTTAAACCCATAGCATAAGTACTTTTAAGATCATGAAATGCATATGTCAAGTATGAAATCATGAAGTGCACTATATTTATCAATTACTTGCACCAATTTCATTTTTGTGTCGATAAGCTTGTCGCATATTTATATCATTGGTTGTCACCTGAACCGTAGGCCCTAAAAACCACTGATGAAATTTGGGCAATCCAACATAATAATTATCAATGACCTCTCAATCTCAAAGCTGAACTTTATAGTATAAAATTTCTAAGATAGAGAGTCATGAATTTTCCTTTTCCACATCGACATCTTTCTTTTTAAACATAATAATCATAATTTTTTTCAATTTAAGATAAATTCCTAACTACTTTATTGAAACTAAATCCATTAACATCAAATAATATTTTTACGTCAAATTAATTTTTCCACATTCAAACCTTGAATCCTATAAAACAGAAATAGAATTATTACCCAAAATCTTTATTTCTCCTCTTCCCCTTTTCTTCCTCTTCTTTTTCCTCTTCATCCTATCCTTCCCATTCTTCTCTTCTCTTCTTCTTTTTTACTTCTTTATTCCTTCTCTATTTCCCTAGCTGAAAGCTTCCATTTTTTTTCCTTATTCACTTGCTTCACCGTGATCCCATTATATATTTACTTTTTCTTATCATTTATTTCCTACCCTTAACTACCCAAGACTCTGTTCTTCCACCTACAACTACTGCCTCGGAGTTTCGGAACGGAATAGTGGGATAAAGATGATAATGAATAAAGGTTGAAGTTGGAATAGATAGATTTAGGCTATTTAAAATCTAATTGATCAATTATGTAATTAAACAATCCTATAAGTTATTCTTATCATCAATTTATCCTTGCACGACACAAAATTTTAGGAGATTGTGTTCTACTTATTAATGAAATAATCGGCAGGCTCTTCATCTTGAATTATCTAAAAGAATTCAGTTTTCTTTTAAGAAAATAAATGATATATCAAACAAGTTTTGTGGAATTTTTCACAATTCTGTAACATAAAATAGAAAAAAAGAAACACTAAAGAAGGATTAAGCAATTGAAAAGCTCTAAGAGTAAAATTTAATTTATAGAAAGACGTAACAGTTCAAGTGTTCAACAATAATAGACATGAGACTTTAGAGCGAGCATCAACAAAACATAACATCCAGGTCCTTTGCCATGATATAAAATGAAACGTCAATCTTCAGAACCACCACCAAGAGCGATTGATCTCAAGAAATTTGAAAAAGTTAAACAAGCAGAGACCACAAACTTGATTTGAATAGGATTATTTAAAATGGGCTGCTACCTCAACAAAACAAAGGAAAAAATAGACATTGAAGGGCTAAATTAATGAGATTTTAATGCTAAGTGAAATATGTTTTTTTTTTTTCCCCTATACAATGACAATACCGGAGGAGAAATACCGAAGAATAACACAAGGGATGACTAAGGCTTTGGACAGCATTATGGCACAAAAGGTCTAGATTCCACGAGAATATAGTGTGTTGCAGCGAGCTAATGCTCACTTTTTCAACTCTAAACACAAGTATCAAGTCCAGAAAAGTGAAAGTGAGACAGCGGCAAGCCCCATGCAACTCCACCAAATTGGACCTAAGATGCACTTTTAGCAATGCACCATTAAGTGCCACGGCTCAAGCTGGCCAAAACTTTTCCAGTAGTCTGATTGTGCACTTCATACCACCATGCAAGCCATTCAGTAGATAGCTAATTAATTTATGCCACAAATATGAAAAATTCATTTCTAATATCAAGGTGTCAAGCAACATAAGAGAGAAAACCAATATGCGGCATAATAACCATCAGATTGAAATAAATCAATACAGAAAACACCAAAAATAATCAACAAAAAGTTTAGGTAAAAAAATAACACAGTTCAGCTAGATAGAACAAACTCAAAGGTCTGCAAAGCAACACTCTTTGGAGTTGAGACTGTATGATATAATATCAACAAATGACAAAAAGACAACTTGCTAAATTCTGAAATACAAAATTCAGCAAAAAAAATTGCTGATTAATTACCTTGTATGCAATTCCAAGTGAAGTGACTGACTCCTGTATGGTAAGGCGAAGAGATTGGTCTTCCAATTTCAACAATGTGAACAACCGAACAGCCATGTCAATTTTGTCTCTGCCCGATAAATAAATATATTATATGACCATGTACAAGTAAGATTAGTTGATGGTGTAGCCAAGCAAAACATAAATAGAATAAAAGTGACCTTCAATCACATTTGCCAAGCAAAACATAAATTGAAAACATAAACATACACTAATATAAATTAAACAAGACATCAATATTAGCCTCATTCTAATTATTTCTGGTCAGCATTATAAATTACCATTCTCCAATTGTTCCAATTGGGTGATAGATGAAAACTCAACCATACACACAAATGCAAGACCTTAAACCATGACCTCTTGGTTGGAAACATAAGCTCCCAGCTAGGGGTATCAACTTTTAACCCGACTCGGACCCGACTCGGAAAATCCGGGTTGGATCTGACCCGTTTTATAAACGGGTCGGGTTCGGGTTCGCAGATTCGACCCGTTTGATAAAACGGGTCGGGTCGGGTTGTTTATATCCGGGTCGGGTCGGGTTCGACCCGAACCCGACGGGTTGACCCAAATTGACACCCCTACTCCCAGCCAAGAGCCTATATAAGTGTTCGCTCAAGAAAATTGATGCTAGGCACGAACCCCGCTTTCTAGACTTATGATTTTATTCTTCTTAAGGCAAATTGATTTTTAATTAACCATATTTTCCCATAGGATTGTATCGGGGTTTATTTAGATCTAGCTCGTTACTTCCTATGAGCGCAAGCCCTCATAGTTAATTATCCCTCCTACTTCGTAGGAGATAACTTTTAATTAAGAATGAATCACTTTAGCATGGCTTAGAAAACTTAATTTTTAGTCTTGTTTGTAGGGAATGGACGTAAGACCCAATCAAAATGATATGGTTGTGACATCTCGGGAATACTATAAATCTCAATCTATCAATGCTAACAAACAATTAGTTGCAACATCTAGGGAATCTGAATAGCAACCATAGGTTGTGTCCTTTTAGGGATCCCGAGTAGATTGGAATGGTTTAATGTGAGATTTTATTTAAGATGAGGCTTATAGCTCCACTTAGGAGTTACCCGCTAGTTTGATTTATGATGGGGCTTACGGCACTGCTCAAGAGTAGCCCAGTAATTTAGTTTAGTTTGGGGCTTATGGTTCCGCTTAGAAGTTGCCCGATAATTTAGTCTAGTTTGGGGGTTTACAGTTCCACTTAGGAGCTACCCGCTAGTTTGATTGAGGATGGAGCTTACGCCTCTGCTTAGGAGTTGCCCGTAGATTTGATTTAGGATGGGGCTTATGGCTCCGCTTAGGAGTTGCCTATTAATTAGGATAGGGCTTAAGGCTCCGCTTACGAGTTGCCCAGAAATTTTGTTTAGTTTGGGGCATATGGCTCCGCTTAGGAGTTGCTCGTTAGTTTGATTTAGGATGTTCCGCTTAGGAGTTGCCTGAAAATTTGATTTAGGATGGGGCTTATGGATCCGATGAGGAGTTGCCCGTTAGTTTGATTTAGGATGGGGCATGCGGCTCTACTTAGGAGTTGTCCATTAGTTTGATTTGGGATGGAGCTTATAGTTCTGCTAAGGAGTTAATTTGAGTTAATTTGGAATTTTGAGTTTGAGTGTCGGGTTTCGAGTTTGTACTCAGTTGGAGTTTTGTATAAACGTTTAGTGTAAACACTTATTTATTTATTTATTTCATTTTTTATTTATTTAATTAATCAATTAAAAAACTTTTTAATTCATTAACTAATTAACCCATTAATAAATTAATTTTAAAAAATTAATTTATATTTGGTTTATTTTATTTTGCCTCAATTATGTAATTAAAAGAAAATTATTATTATTATTATTATTCTTATCATGTAGAAATTAATTGTATATGTATATATATATCAATCATTTAATTAAATTAATTGATTAGGATTTTAAAAAGTACAGGTTTAGCTTATGATGTTTTTGGAAGTCCTTGGCCAAATGAGTATTTCACAGAGAGCCGGCAAGTGATTCCATTAAGAACAATTTTGATTCTTTGGAACAACTCGATGAATTTAGTCGGTCCTTTTTTTGGTTCCCAATAACCATAGATCAAACCTATCCAATTTTTATAGTGTGATGGTTGGTTCTTCACGAACTGTAATAATAAATTTAAAGTACTCTCCAATTGCTCTCCAATCAGTTTATTTTTTTGAAAATTCGGCAACCTCCATTGTTCCCTCCCCACAAATGGAGGTTGGGACGACACTTGCTTCTTCCTGGCCAGATCTAACATATGACGGCACGGGGTCTTCAATTTAATTTCTTTCCGATTGGATTTAAGATACAAAGGTGTGAGGTCTTCAATTCAAGCATTCCTAACCGGATCTAAGATATAACAGCGCAGTTTTTCAAATAAAAATACATGTTTGCTTTGCTTTTTTTTATTATTATATATATTTTTCTTTATACATATAAACACTCCTGTCTCACAATTTGTATTAGTAAGTGAAGACAGGAAGAAGGCTTTCTTCTATGCACTTATAGTTTGGAGAATTATAGAAGCAGAGGCGGAGTCGAGTGTTAGGAAGGATTGGACTGTGCAGTGACTAGCGAGAATCGTGCGCACAAAGATAGACATTCAGGAGGGTCGCAAGTGGTGCAGGCATGGTTTTGAGCGGGGACGGCATGCACGCTACAGGAGCGCGGGTTGAATCGTGTGGCAGGTGTCACACGTACAAGCGGGTGAATTTCGGATCGTGGGCTAGGAAGCGTTCACACAGTCAAATCGAAGCACGCTCACGTGTGGATGTTCATATAAGCAAGCAGGGGGGGCGGACCGGATTGAAGTGTGCTAGTGTGAAAGTGTTCGAACGAGCGAGCAAGGGGCGAGGCAGATTGTGGGCCAGAGCAGAAGGGCGCACGCTGGTGCGGCAGGTTGGAGGTGGAAGTGAGGGTTTTGTGAGGAGACGAAAGAAATGAGCGGGACGGAGCAGAGCATAAGTTTTTTTTTCGTTTTGATTCCCAATATTTTTGTATTAATCGATTGGATGTGTCGTATCTGAAGCAAAGCACTTGTTCTATTTCTTTATTTCTTTTTTTTATTATCTCTTTTTTTTTTATAATTCAACAATAAGTGATGCATGTGGTACCAAAACCTAATGTGTATTTTTTTCACACAACTACAATACTTACCTAATTTTTTGTGTTTTTAGTTCAACTTTACTTTCATCTAAATGTCACATCGTGTATCTTCTATACTATGTTGTACAAGTTCAAATCACATAAGTTTATGTTCTACTATTTTGTTCTACTATTTTATCTCTAATAGATGCTACTCTTATTGTCTCTCTAATACAAACATTTCAAACTCTATATAGCCAACTTTATCATGCATCCATCTTAACATTCTCATTTCCATCTTGTTAAAGTTGATTATTAGTAAATAACTTATCTTCCACAATTTGATCCACAAAGCATATACAACCTATTTGCAATTTTAAAATGTTTGTCATTAAGTCTCTATGATATTCTCTTATCTCATAGTATTTTTGACTCGATTTTAAACAACCAAACCTAACTCTGCAAGGTATATCATCATTCTTCTATATAACAAATTCAATATAATTAACCCTAACACACAACATAACACTTTATCCTCCATTAGCATTGGCAACTAATCATAAGCCATTATTTTTTGTAAGGTTTTGTCAACATTCAAATTTTCTACTAATTTAGTAGATATCTCACCAACTGGAACTATGTCATCTACAAAATATATAATCAAAAATCTCACTATGAATATACTTTGTTAGCACGCCTATACATAATACAATAAAATATGAACTAAAAAATTAATCTTTAATGCAATTCAATTATGATTATAACTCTTTAGTCACTCCACCATTATTTCTAATACTAATAAATACTCTATCATACATATTTTTCATAACTTTGACATACTTTGAACACATTCTTTCTTCAATACACACAAAATAACTTCTCAAGTTTTTACTTTTGCATATTACTATCATCCTTATAATCAGTATAAATACTAAGCATTTATCTTTTTCAACCTCTTAAGAGCACAGTCGTTTCTTTAATAACCTTTTTGTACCATCTTACTTTATCACTAGCTCTACATGCTTATGTATTCTAAAATTTTTATAGTCCTGTTTATAAAAATTAGCTATAGTGCCCATGTAAAATTTGGCTCACCTTAGAAGTCCAATTTGCCTCTAGTAACAACTTAACTTGAAATATGATCAACTTCTAACAATTTAAATTCGATAAGGCAATTTTTTTTTTTTTTGTTATTTTCACTCTATCCTTAAAATTTACCCCTATAAATAAAACATTACATTGCGTGCTCAATCATTCACCTACAATCCCCTTAAAATATCTTTAGAAGGATTTTTCTGTCATTCTATGTTAAGATGAGTATTTTAATGGTTTGATGCTACACTTTTGAAAGTAACTAAATGTGTTTCTTATTTCTTACAATCCAACAACAACAACAACAACATCAAGCCTTTGTCCCACTATAAAATCAAATATAGCTTTTTTCATCACACTTCTATCTCCTATTATATACCGTGAATCTCCTTATTGCCTATTTATTAGAATCTAGTGTCCATTTAGCTTTAACCTCAATAAATATCATTTGCTTCTATCACTGCCTAAAATATATAATGTAAAAGATTAAACAACTCCCACAATTGGTTTACAAACTACCTTCTTATCAATCTTGATGAACATAAACACTAATCACACACACACTGATCAAATCTCTACCGCATTCCTACTATAAACCCACCCAGTATGCAACAAATTTACCTCCTCCAACCTCCATGATGTAAAAAACATTGGCATGGCAAAGATGATGAAGATAACTGGTGCATTTATCTCTTTTGTTCGTCCCCAGCTGCAATTCTCGCTTGCAAATACCATAACTACAAATCCATCTCCATTTAAAACTTAGCTTGGCAATTAGCACATCGAAAAGGCACAATCCTGGCCTTTATTATAGAAAACCAGCACTCCATATACTGGCATCATAGTTTAAAATTGCGCAATCTGAGGCGTGCTGCGCCTTTGCGGAATTTGCTCCAAAATAGCCTCAAAGCCTAGGCAATTCTTAGGCATCATGAGGCGTACGCCTCAGGTGGAGTGAGGCGCACCTCACTAGCGTTATTGCGCAATTTCTTATGAGGAGTAAGCCTCTAACATGGGGGCCCACTTACTTAAAAAACATCTTAAATTCTTCCTTCTACCCACTTACCCGACCGAAGACCCACTTACCAGACCGAAGACGTCAACCGAAGCCGCGCAGGAAGCACGCAGACGCCCGATCCGGCTATCCCGCACGTTTCCGCCGCCTCTCCCGCCGGTGAGTCCTTTGTTTCCGATCACCCCTCTACATCACTTTTTCAAGTGTTCTTAGGGTTTTTTTTCTTTTAAGTTTAGGGTTTGATTTTTCAACTTAAAGGAAAGCTAGGGTCATAGTTCTCGATACCGCTATGTACATGCTCAGTACCGCTAGGTACATGCTCGATACCGCTAGGTACATGCTCAGTACCGGTAGCCCGGCATATTGTTGTATTCATCATCTTTAGTAATAGTTGTTAGTATTAGTATGCTTCTTATGTGCTATTAAATTATATATATATATATATATATATATATATATATAGTGGGCAATTAACATGACAATAATCATTCTTATTGAACAAGGAAGATATGACATTCATAGATACAATTGGAGAAGAAGATTCTCTTGAAGACCCATTTAGTGATGGGACATGATTTGATTTAATATGTTCTTTCTTATTGTACTTTGGGAGTTTTGATAGACTTATATTTTATGATTCTGTACTTTAGGATATGATTTTATTGCATCTATTTTCTTACTTTCCACTAATTTCACTTGTCATTTAGATGTTTTTATTGTATGATAGAATCTTACTATTATTTACCAGCTAAAATCCTTAAATTCTCATTTACGCAATTTGAAAAACGTCTCGAGGCTTATTTGCGCAATTTTAAACCTTGACTGTCATCACTAGCAGAATGATCCAAATTTATGCAAGGATCGCTAGCTATGTTCACGGGAACAACTAAATCTCATGGTCTACTTTATCTTCTTGTTCTTGGTGGTAACTTTGGCATACTTTAGTAAATCACTCTAGACGCTGCTTGTTGCAGCTAATTTCTAATTTTTGTCCATTTCTAACCTTCTCTTGAACTTCAGATTGAAATTGGCCAAACCATGAGTAAGCCAGGAAGTTACGAAACTTGAATTTGCGAACTCTAGAAAGTGATTATTTTTCTCTTTTCATTTTATTTCTAACGAAAAACTAATATTGATTCTTCCAACTAATTATCTAGTATTTTTATTCAAAGTCCACAAATTTCATGTAGCCAAAGTAATCATAGTTGTAAACCTAATCAACCCATGAATACTTTTATCACAATTGGACTAAATTAATGTCTCAGCCAATCTTGCATATTTTTTACTACAATCAGTTTAAATTGTGTTGCACAACTTATCACCACACCATAGCAAACACTCAATAATTCACATAACAATTAAGGTTGGTGGTGGTGCATAGCTTTTGAGGAGCCACCCAGCTCAAGGCAAATTTAAAATATGAATTCATTTTATAAATTTTGGCATAAATTTTTCAAATGCTTTATCAAACTAACATCAACCATCAACCTTTGTTATCTAGGCCTACGGATGAAAATGATAGTTTTAAATAAAATACGAAGACATACCTGAAAAGTTGGGGCATGCGAACAGCAAGCAGACCTATTGCTTGGAAAGCAAAAGATTTAGCATCTTTGGCAATAGCATCTGTACGAAATTGACATTAATATCAACTCAGTAATTCAGCATAAAAATCTACAAATATTTAGATTTGTATGATGTAAGCGCTCAACAATGTTTGGGACACCAATGAGGGGAAAATAAATAGGATTAGCAGGAGAAGGCAACCTGTTTCAGCAAGTGAGGAGCCATCAAGCTGCCTCAGTATTGCATTCAGGATAACAGGGCCCATAAGTTTTAATCGGTCAATTAATGCCTGCGTAAGAAAATAAAGAAGCTGATAAAGCAAACACCACAGAAAAAATTAATGCTTTATTGACATGAATCGAAATATCCTAGAACAGTAACAATGAACAATGAACAAAAGTATTCAGGCTGAAATAAGAAGAAAAATGTGCAAACCGACTACATATACGGTTATGTGTGTTTTCAGATACATTTTATCTATTATAAGTCCAAACCTTAATAAACTTTCAGCAGTTTTTAAGGAAACTGAAACACGAAAAAAAAATAAAAAATAAACATAAAAATAGGAAACTGAAACAGGAGACTAATAAGACAACAGCTTTCATTTCACAATTAGACTTCGTTTGGGACGGCCTGCTTGCTTTCTAAAACAGCTTTTTAGTATAAATGATGTAGAACTACGTGAGGATGCAATGATTTTGTTTAGAATTTGCGCAACTTTTGATTAGAACAACAGTGAAGAAACTATTAGCATTTAAAACAACGAATTAAAATAAGAAAGGGGTCACGCCCGCTTAGGCTAAATCACATAACCAGAGATTTGAAACTTTCAAAATAAATTAGTAAACAACGTTACGCCAAAATAGTAGTTTCAATAAGAATCCCTAATCTAAAAATGAGAATTAGTAAAAAAAGAAGTGCACTCAAAACCCTACATTTACTAAGCTTAGCAGAAACAGGACGAAGCGTCCTTCGTGACTACAATCAAACACAAGATAAAGTTAGACTCGAGAAATATGTTGAAAGGGAAAAGTAGAACCTTTTTTCAAGGATCGGTGGAGATCCTCCACTAAACGCCTTCAAACTGCTCTTCGATTGTTTCCACCAAAGTGTCCATAATACGCTCTATGTAATCTTCAACGGTGTGATCGACCCTCGTATTAACGTCAAAGAAAGTTGATTGGAGAATGTTTACGAAGACGTCCTCGTAGTAGGTTAGGCCGTATTCAATTTCCGGATCGACCATTCATAGATGTTAATTAAGTCTTCCAACGATGGCTAGTACTCTTGAAGATTGTTGAAGAAAAGAAAAGAAGTTCTCTTCAACTTGAAGTGAGGAGACAAAACCAAATTTCCCTTCAAAATCTGAAAGAAATTTCATATTTTTATCATTTAGGAGATAGGAAGAGCTAATGTCTAAAATTCAAGTGGAGAATTACTGAGGGAGAGAAGCTTGAGAGAGAGAGAGGGACGGGTATGGAGAGAGAGGGGGAGGAGGGGGCAGATGCAATGATGAGGGGGGGAAGGATTTAAATTTGTTTCCAAAATTAAGGATCTCACTTTGGAAACAAATTAAATAAAGGGGGATTAGGGAATTTTGGTTAAGGAGGTGGAGGGGGAATTTTGGAAATATTTCCAATGAGGGCTAGAGAGAATTTAGGAAATTAATTCCCCAAATTCCCTATAGGGGGCCGGCGGCATGCATGATAAGGGAGCATTAAATGGGGTGAATTAATGATGCGGACATCGGTACGCATCTATCACAGGAGGCGTCGTAAATCGACGACCATAATTTAAATCTTCAATTTTGAGTTATTTTTCTGAATTTTAGTTTTTATTTGATGTATTTCCTGTTTTACCCCTAGGTTGATTTATGTGAGTGTTGTGGCCCAAGGGGCAATTTTGTATTTTGAGTTTTCATATGTTGTGGCCTATATATAGGGCCTTAAGCTATTGTAATGAGGATGGATTATTGATATTAAAATTTTGTGCTCCACACTTGTGTTCTTTTGAGAGAAAGTTAGTGAGATTCCTATGAGAAGGAATCGGAGTTTTCACCAGCCGCAGGATGGATCCGGGCTCGTGACTTGAACTCCCTTGGAGAAGGGCAAAGCATCACCTGTCAGTCTTCGGAAGAGTCTAAGGCTCGCGGTTTTTATCTTCTATCGTTTGATTCTATCTTTCGTTTTTGTTTTTTTGTTACTCCTTATTGTTCCTCGCCGTCATTTTCACCCTCATCCCAATCACAAAACCCAACCCTCTCCATCATCCCGTTGGCCCTCCCTCTAGCCGCCGGCCTCCCCTTCATCCACCATCCCACCTCTCCGTTAATTGCCGGCTCATTTGTCGCCAGCTCACGTATTTTCAAGTTTGAAATTTGAAAATTTGATGAGTTGAAAGTTTCCAAATTTGCCCGGTGCCAAATTAGGGAAGTTTCAATGAGGTTTCAATTTTCAAATTTGAATTGAAACGGATTTGAAATTTTTCGTCATTAATTAGCTTGAGCGGATTAGGAAACACATTACACTCTCCCCAAACCTTGCCCAAATCCCCTCCCTCTCTCTCTACATGCCGCCGGCCACTATGGGGCTTTCCTCCCATTAATTCCCCAATTAAAGCATTAATGACCTCTTAATTTGAAATCAAATTTCAAATTAAGTTCTCCCCCCCCCAATTTCATTCAAAACCTGAAATTAATTTCAGGTTTTGAAATAACCCCTTCCCCTCTCTCAAGAAGCCGCCGGCCCCTCCTTGGCTCCCCCTCATTAATTCCCCCACTCAATGCCTTAACTCCCTTGATTTGAAATTTTAAATTCAAATCAATTCCCTCTAATAGCCCATCTATTTCAATTAATTGTTTCCTAACTCTAAGTCCATCCTTTTGGAAACAATTGCAATTCCTATAACAGTTTTGTTCCTCACGTCCAAAGCCTCTAATTAATTTCCAAATCTCTGGAATTACATTAGGAAATCTTTCCAAACAGCCAAAGTAATTCTTTGGAAATATTTTCAAAAGCTGAGATTCTCCTTGGCCGAAAATCTCAAGGCCCCACCTCCATTAATTCCTCTCTTGCCAACCGGAATTCTTTAAACCCAAGCCTTATCTCACTTTCCAAAATCTGTTGAGAGAAATCAGGAATTAATTCCCTAATTTCTCCCCCATAATCCCGTCAACCTCCTTACAGGTTTCCTGAATTGAAGTTTGGAAATAAAAAATCCCTCCCTGGCCCGTATACTGACTTCTCCTCTAATTCCCTATTTTTTTCCCTCTACATCCCGCCGGCTACACCACTGGAATTTCCTAAAGGTTCCATTGCTTCTCTTTGGGAAGAGCTTGGACTTCAACCTGCTGCAGGCTGAAATTTCCCAAGGCCTCACCTTGGGTTGCCACTCTTCCAAACCCCCTTCCCATCCTGAGATCTTCCTAACGGGATGGCTGTCCAGAATTTCTAAAAATTGGTAGACTGCTGTCCACTGATTTCTGCACCTCCCCACCGGCTGGTCAGCCCCAAAACTCAACCCCCTTGCTGTCCAGACTTTTCTGAACATCATTGGATTGCTGTCCAAGGATTTCCAACAAGAAGAGCTGCTGTCCAAGACTTTTAAAACCCCAAGGCTGCTGTTTAGACTTCTGTATTTACTCTACAAGACCCATCAGATTTCAATCCTCTTTCTCGTTCTACATCAATTAAGGCTTCTCAATTTGACTTTAGGAATTAGGAAAGTAATGAAATAAATCCAATTTGAATTTGAAATTCAAATTAATTTAAATTAAGTACTTTCCTAAAATAGGTGAACTAAATTAGGAAAAAAATTTTGAATTTCAAATTTAGATAATTTGAATTTCAAATTAAGTTCAAATTTCATTCACCTCAAATTAGGAAACCCAAGAAGGAAGGGGGAAGGGTGAGGTCGGCGGCTAGGGAGCTAGGGCCGGGGGTTGGAAGGGATTTCGGGTAAGGTGGCCGGCGGCTTGTGGGGGAAAATCTGTGGAGCTCGTTAGGAGGAGACGATGGCTTGGAGTTGGAGATGGTTGGATGTATTGATGTCCGGTAGTAGTGGTGGAAGGAGAAAGGGAGAAAGATAAAGAAGAAAACCACGAACCCGTCCTTCTCCAAAGTTGGTGGGTGATCCGATCTCCCTCTCCTAGGGATTTCTCTCCACTCAAACTCTCAAGTTCTCACAAGAACTCATGCAAGGAAGCAAATTTTTTTTTTTAATCATTCATTCATTACTTGAAAAATAAAACAAGGGGCTATAAATAGCCTAGTACATGAGATTCAAGAAATAAAAGATGAAAATGCCCTTGGGGATTACAAACGACATCCCTTTACTAAATGGGTACAACGGGAAATAAAATAACATAAAATAAAGCAAATACATGACACATGACTAAAACAATACAATCATAAATTAGAAGTACAATGACTCGATCGTGGCCGTAGATCGGCGGCCACGCCTCTGATAAACCTTCCACGATCTGATGTCCTCATCAATAAAATTTTTTTTATTTCAAAATTTTGTGCTAGAAAGTAGTTTTAAAAAGCAGTACGAAAGATATTCCAAATGAAGCCTTAACCATCTTGGAAATTTAAAACCAAAATCGTTCATCTATCACCATCACAGGGAAACGACTGCTGACACCTTCACAAAGCCACCAATCTTTCCCTCCCTCATCAAATCTTCTAATCATCATACTCTTCAACTTCCATCCTGCAAATCTTCTTTCTATCAGGTATTTACTCTTTCAACTCACCCCCATCCTCCCCCCGCCCC